TGTCCAACCCGTTGACGGAGAAAGATTACAGAACGTGGATGGTTGCTGAAATCGACAACAAGTACAAGATCATTTATTCGGAAGATTTCAATTCGATCCAAAAAATAATTATGATCACTGATAAATATATCACGCGTATCGAGGAAATAAATGAAGGTGTTGACTTTGCAGTAATCAATTCGTTAATCCGTCTTAGGGAGTCTGATTATTATAAGCGGTTAGTTGATCTGGAAAAATGTGCTGTTTAAATATAAAATGTGCTTTTTATATTTTTCAAAATCAACAGAATTAAACGAGTTTAGTTTCATACGCATATTTTGTTAAGGGAGTATTATTTGTTTCAGTTAGAATACAATTATTATTATTAAAAAATGTGTTTAATATTAGAATTCTCATTTTAAATAATGCCAATTGGACTGTCCGAGTAATAAGTGAAATCTGCGAGAAAAGTGGTTATCCGGGTTATTGTATTCCATAAAATCGATTCAAGAATTCATTTCGCTTGAAAGCTGTGCAAAAATGTGTTATGTTTGAATAATAAAACTCAATATAATTAAAAAATTGTGTTTTTATTTTTATTAGGGATAAATTCACCGAGTACTATGATTTAAAAACTTTTAATTATACTTTTGTAAAGTATTAGACAATTTGCTTAAAAATAATGCGTTCGTATTTTAAATGCTACAAAAATCCTCAATTAACCGTGACACGTAAATAACATAACGTTGGAAAAATATTAAGCTCCACTGTGTTTTGTTAGAATTTGATTTTCACAATTGTAATTATTTACTTTATGCAATTTAATTTTACTACCTACATTATGATTATTTTGGCAAGCCGTAATACTTGCTCCTCGGTACTATTTGTAAAATCGAATTTCAACAATATATCAATGAACTGTTCATTTTTTAAATGGCGAATGAATTTTGGCTTTCGTTCACTCTATGGCGGAAACTCCAAATTAAGATTTCGCAATAAGTATAAGCAATTAAAGCTCATGTACCTAATATTTTATACTTATAGTTTGTCAAACGATAAAACAATACACGCGCATACACAATATTAAGTGGAGCAAAAGTGTTATTGAAATATTCAGTACACGTTGTCTCTACATGTATTTATCGGCTAAATAAACAACTATGGTTAAAGGCGCTGGTGCTATTGGATAAACAATATTTGCTGGTATTTAGTTCACACTCGTTTTTCATGTTTATGTAAAACAATTATTCTGCCCTGCTAAAGTGAAACGCAGTAACAGCGTTATTTTGTGAAAATTGTCAGAAATAATGGCGTACAATCACAAAGCTTATAGCATTTTTGAATTTCTGGCATAAATTTGCAACTGTTTCAGTCAAAGGGTATACTTAAAATCTCAAATTAACTAAAACAACTATAGCAGGGCAGAATTATTATACTGTTTTGTAAACATCGAGAATGAAAAACCAATATATGACGTTAAAAGTGAAACTAGAACAACAATATTTACTGAGGTGTCGCATGAACGTATTTAACGTGCTTCTATAAAAATGTTAGCTTAGAGTTTTGTAAAGCAATAGTGTTATTGTGTGTAGAAAATAAATAAACACAATAGCGGTTTCTTTACAGTTTTGTAATAAAAACAAAATCTTAGAAGTGAATATAATTGTAGTGGCATTACGTGTTTATTCAATATGTCGATACTGAAGATTTATCTAGTTACAATACTAGTGCTGATGATTATTCAAAGTGTCGAAATGCAAATACAAGAAAATACAACCGAAACGAAGAATTTAGTAGACAACATTATTTTTATGCAGTTATTTATACCTGACCGAGGTTATATTGCAATAAGAAGCGATAAAACCGAAACCGAGCTTTCGTCAATGGATTTCCAGACTGTATATCAATATCATTCATCTATAGAAAAAGAATTACAATGCAGTTTCGTGTTTAGCGCACTGGTATACACGTATCAAGCTAATAACAACGAGGCGCTTCGAACTCGATCAGTTGCGGTTGCACAATATAATGAACGATGAAAATTTAATCGAAGAACTAATAAAGACTTGGTGGAACATTTCCTAAAAAGATACCGGAAAACTTACAACGTTAACGTGTCCCTTCGTGCGCACATCAATTCCTTCATAACATTACAAAATGAGTTAATAACTACTCCGAAAGCGATGTCTTTGAGAATCGTCGTTGTACACTTGAAATACTTAACAAACTATTTACAATCGCTCTCGTCGTCCAAGAAGAAATTGCATTACATGAGAAATGTGCATGAAAAATACCACACGAAAATGATCACATTTCTTAACGATTTCGCTGCTTGTGTTGGGCAAGTCGACGATCGCCATTTGAAAAATGTATTAGAAATGTTATTAAGAACACGTGTTATGCGTTCATCTAATTTATCTCTATTCGACGGTCACATTAACTACGGAAATAAGTGGTTGGTTGGCGTAAAAGTTGTTGCCATAAAATATGGCATCGCTTATTCAACACACATCGAGCATCCGGTCGAAAACATTTTCATAGTCACGCACGTGTACATCAATTACATCAAGAAAATAACTAATTTCGCTCAATTTCGAGTCATCAACGCGTTAATCCGTCTTGAAAATTCTGAACATTATAAACGTTTAGTTGTTCTGGAAACACAAGCCGACTGAATTACACAAATCAATAAACGTTTTAACAATCAAAATATTCCGCATGTTACCAGTTGTGCATTCTTTTCGAATACCTCGTCAAAAGAGGTAAAATAAAGACGAAATCCGCTAATTAAAAGATGTCGTATCATTTATTTTCTTAAAATCCTTTTAATGTATTAGTATGTTACCTTTGTCGTTTTCACAAAAAAAAAAAAAAACGTTTAAATTCAAATTACACGATTAATTATAGAATTTTATTAACTGAGCCATTGACATTTTTTAAAACACGTGAAATCTATTGAATAACCTTAAATAATATCTAAGTTGTTAGCAAATACTAATGATTGCTGTTTTATACCTATTTTGAACTTTTTAGTTGAAAATTTGCCTGGAGTTAGAACTCTTATGCATGTTAATTAAACGAAGGAAAACACCGTACTACAGTATTACAGGACTACAAGGACTACAGTATTTTTTATTGCCTAACACCCGTGTGTTTTCGCAGATTATGTATATTTTGATATAAACACGTTAAAACTTAAAAAAAATGTATTAAATCATGCCAATATTTTTATGGACATCTATTTAGAGTGTTCCTAGTAAGTTTTGAGTAATTAGGTACCAGTTTTAGGTTTTAGTTTATTTCTTTTTAACTTCATTTACGGTGCACCAGATGTGAGGAATGAAAAATAAATAATTATTTTCTGTTGGTATTATTGTCTACCCAAATGCCATGTTATCAAATTCAATTTTCCATATTATATCACATCTCGGCTGTTGTTAAAACACTTATGGTTTGTTTTTACTTAGCTAGCCCTTACAGCGGCTAACGAATTGTTTTTTATTTGGAATTCAATAAATAAATAATACAGTCAACACAATAAATTTATTAAAAAAAAAAACTGTTAATTTTAGATATTTTAATGTTAGTATAATAATTATCATCATCGATTTAATATTATAATATATTCTGCTTAAACATAATAAACTTAATAAGTATACAGTAATAAGGGACGTTCGATCAAAAGCGATACACTCGTTATTATTCAGAAGATTTGATTTCTTAGGCCTTAGGTACTGATTTTCAAATGGTCAATTGATATTATTATTATTTATATATGATGTATATAAATGTTTACTTAAGGGTTGTATGTGATCTGTTTTTTGACGTTTTAGACCAAAAAAACCAGACAAAATTCGACTACATAAGGTCGAAGTTCAATTCTATTAAAATATACAAATTCTTTGACAACTATACTAGATTATCTAGGAAACAGATTTTTGATTTTTTGCTTTTTTATGCAAAAAAATTGGGTTTTACTATTGAAAAAATTGAAAATTGAATTATTTTATTTATAAGAACTGAAATTTTCAAATGAAAATCGGCATCCTACATAACTTAGTAAAGTAGCCAAAGAACTCGTGTCTTTTAACAGAACAGAAATTTGACCATCCTATGTGTTCGAAATTTTGTCTGGGTTTTTGGTCTAAAATATACCAAAATGGCTTTTACTCCGACAAAAATTATTTAAATTAAAAATGATACCTGGAAGCTTATACAAATTAACCGGTAAATTAATTGACACGGTTAAAATTGATTAAAACCGCTTTTTTTCTTAAATATTGCCTATACGAAACTTGTTAAAAACAGACCGCATGCAATCCCCCCCTTAACGGGTTTCCGATAATTTACCCGTAAAATGTTTTTAAATTAAGCTAGCTAATCGACCTGTATAATATATTACAACTATAATATTTGTGGCTGAGCCAAGAAAAGCCTAACCTAACTTTTTTGTAACTTTTATGATTTGATTAAATAATGTTTTTTTTTCCTTGCGGATCCATTGGTTGTACAAATAATAAGCATTTCGATGTTTGTAATCACAACCATCTTACTCGTTTTTCTCAAAAAATTACTTTGGCTCTTTTTGATCCGAGCCCGTACAATAATTTATATATTATAATAAACACACAATAAAATATTTGTATACAGTATGCATTTACTTAAAGTTAAATAATGATATATATATATATATATATATATATATATAAATATTACATATATATGGGTTAAGATGTCATATACGAACGAAAGTTTGGAGCACCCCCATGTGGACATTTTTGAAACTTACCCTGCACGTCTATTACGACGAAAAGAATGTTTTAAATTGTTTTGGCCATGACCATATAAAGTGTCTTTAGTTATTATCTTTACTCTTCTTTGTTATCATATTAAGTAATATCCTCGGCCTTAAAATGTTTTATTAAAAATCGGTTTCTTTTGAAAAAAATAACTAAACTTTCTGAAAAAAATATTGATTTTTTTTTAGTAACAGAAAGTCATTAAAATTGAGTTTATAATCTAAAAAGTAGTTTCTTTTTGTGTTGCCCAAAATTTGATAATTTTTTTCAGAAAGCTGAAAAAACTTTAAATAAAATGTGTAAATTTCAAAATAACTTCTCCATAAACGCTTTGAAAAAAAAAAAATGACGATTCATAGAAAGGTCGAAAAAACCGGGAAATTATCTTATTTTTACACATAATTATTTCAACTGTTTTGATTATTGTGGTTGTTTTTTCCAGTTCGCATTTGGCGTGTTCACCCATATATGTATTTATATATATATATATATATACATATATATTTATTTATTATTTGATATATGATTAACGAGCGATAGAAACTAAGATTGAAATGTATACGTTTATCACAGGAAAGAAGTACAATATAACAGTCGAGTAATGGTAATGGGGACGGCGTCGAAGAGGTAGCGGCTCTCAAATTAAATTAAAAAAAGATTGTTTAAGAAAAGAAAAGGGTAAGTACACAAACTGAATTCGTCCCAGTCAAATGTTTATGGAAAAGCGACACTGTCCTCCAATGTCTCAGTTATTGGAAAAAGCTTTGAAAGCACTGGATCGCCTAAGACTCAAACGATCAATAAATACAAGGGCTGGACGATTATTATTTTGGTCGTTTTAATATAATCGATCAAACTAATATTTTTAGAGGGTGTATCTGAAACCAATGTCACTCCTATATGTGGGGTTATATCCTATGGTAAAGCTAAAAAATATTAATAAAACCATTTTTATTTTCTCAAAAAATAAGTGATAAAAATAAATAAATTATTCCACCGAATTTCTTGCAAGCACTTATTTGCAAATCGATTGGTCATTCATAATTTCGAATTTTCCAAAACAAGTTTGAATTTTAAATGTTCTCATGATCTTTCAGTAATAAATATAATTGTCGAGCGACACATTAGTCTGTCAAAGTATTCTTTAGGAAACATCATGATTTTAAGCAAAGTGTATAAAAAATCTATCTCAGCTCCTCCTCATTAAACATGACTTCACATAGAGTGATATTCAGTTCAGATGCACCGCATATATTATAATATTATGATCATGAGCTACAATACTGTGTAAAGTCCTACCCAGTCCCAGCACTTATAATAGAAATACAATAAAAAGTTAAAAGAATATAAACAGTGTACCCAGTTTGTTCAGTTTGAAACTTCGTACACCCACAAATCATATTATTTAATTACTATCGGTAAGTAGAACTTATTTTTAAAAAAAAAAGAGTAGGGTAAAATAAAACGAAAAAAATTAAGGCAAATCAACAGCCATCGGTTTACAGTACGTGCAGATTGCCGCAAGACTTGGACTTGGAATCGAGCAAGCACATTTTCTGAAGTATTTCCTTGGCGATGTGTAACGACAGCGAAGTCTTCGAACCGTGTAAGGCTGCCCTCTTCCTTTGGTTCTGTTTTTTCTTGTCCCTGGTCTCGCGCAAACGGATCTGCTTAAGTACACCTACCAACAGTTCGTCTACGTTGTGCTGAATGCCGCTGGAAGTCTCTATAAACTTGCATTCCCTCGAGCAAGCCAACTGCTTTCCCTCTGAAACCAATTAAGTTTGCCAGTTTAAAACACCGATAAGACATTTCATTAAATGCATTGAACGCTAGAGCGAAACCATTGTTCCAAGATAAGTGCGTGAAAAATAGAGCTAGTTTGGTAAAACCAAAATCGGTTCTAGAGAAAATCTCTTCCACAAATAGTATATATTTTTGAAAAAAAAAAAAAAATATTGAAAATCCGTAGGTAATTCTCAATGGATAATAATGATATGAATAAACATTTGAGTAAAAAATACATGCTATTATAAAATTGCTTACACCACTTCATGATTAAAAAATTAAAACTATTTGTACACAATTACTTTATACAAGGTTATATTCATATTTTTGTGTAAACATATAAAATGTGTGAGTGTAAAAACTATAAAAATACCATACTTATTATTTTAGTTAATAAATATAAGTAGGAACACCGAGTACTGATAATTTTTAAAGAAGTTTGTTCTATTCAATATTACACGTGTTTATTTAATTTATAAGTTTTGTTAAGCTATTGCGCGTTAGTGTAAAATATAATATATATAAATATAATAAACTACCCTATTATTTAATCAAAATTAAAATTGTTTTAAACAATTTTGTAAAAATAAAAACACCTAATTTATCAAATTTATTTACCCAAACGTTTAACATTTTTGTTAATTTGGGTGTTTGCTATAGTCCTTTTAAGTTTGTCAGAATTAAGTTTTTATTTTGGTGATAATTATGTCATTATTATTATTAAATCTTCCATGAATTATTCAAGCTAATAATATGGTCAAATAATATTTTCTTATGTGATTTTTAATTCAGGTTATACATAATACAGATATTCAACAATCAATATTATTATCATGTTTGTAATCTTAATATTAGTTTTTTCGTAGATGAAAAAAAAAATAAAAGTTTGAATCATTTTCTTAAAAATGTATGTCACACATAAAATTAGGTTCGATGAGAACCGAGAAAAGCAGAAAACCGTTACTTGAATGTATTATACGATCATTTATATAAACTAAAAGCATATAATATTAACAATAAAACGTGTACATTTAAAAGTTGTAAGAAAAATTCAAAGCCATTAATAAAAACATTTTTTTTTTTTTAATTATGATTTAAATTAATTCAGCTTTTCTTTCCAGGTCGGCTAAACGTTTATAAGGGTCAGACTCCTTGAGACGGAATAATGAGTTCATTACTCCAATGTCAATGCCACCTGTTATTTTCTGAATATACGTAATAAATATATCGGCGACCATAATTATTTTTTCGATCGAGTTAAAATCTTGTGAATAAATTAAATCATATTTGTTTTCAATTTCATCGATCATCCACATTGTGTAATCTTTCTCCGTCAAGGGGCAAGACAATGTAGCAAACTCGCTGTTACCGAATGTCATGTCAGTTATTGAATCGAGAACACTATTAATATATTTATCGTACTGGGACACTGTGCGAAAATTCCAAAAATAATTATTAAATATACTTTTTACCTTGTTCAGATGGTAATCATTTGGCTGACCAACAAAAGAAGCGAAATTTGTCAGAAAAGTAGTCATTTGTTTAATGCATTTCCCATGCACACTATTCAACATAGTAATACGTCTAAATGTTGAAAGGGTTGCTGACTGGTTTTTCATACAGTTCAGCAATACTAAGACGAATCTCAAAGCCATCGCCTTAAGTGTAGTTATGAATTCAATTTGTGAAGTTATGAAGCAGTTGATATATTCATGGAGTGGCACGTCAACGTTGTAGGTGTCCAAGTGACGCCTATAAAAATGATCCACTATAGGTTTGCTGTCGACATTAACACCAAAAGCGTTAAACAGTTCACCCATCGTGCGTCTATCGTTCATTAGAAAATACAAACGAAAATGTACTAGTTTAGATAGTTCCGTTTCTTGATAAGCGTTAGATCTTTGCTGTTTTGAAAATCTTAGCTTGTTAGACGCCAGTGTCAGCGGAGTGTTATTTGTACGCCCCTCCTCTATAACTTCTTTGATCTTGTCCGCGTACTTAACGTTTTGGGTTTCGCCAGTTTCTTGGTTGTACACCTTACATTCGTAAGACTCGGTGAACTCCTCGAGCACTTTTTTTACGATCGCGTGTCCAGTTAGCATCATTTTGTTGTTGAGACTAAGAGTACCGGTTTTGGTTGATTTGATACAGTTGTATGTTCTCAAAGCGAGGAAATTGTATATCCACATGACATCCAAAAGATTAAACTTTTGTTTGTCGAGTGCGTAGAGAAGTATGTACAATGCTTCTCCCATAAATGTTACATCGTTTAACTCTTCCCGTGTAAAAATATTCAGTTTTTCCTGTTCTGATAAGTAAACATCGGTTAGATATATCTGCACCAGTGCACTAAACGCGAAACTGCATTCTAACTCTTTTTCCAGAGTTGAAGTATATTGTTCTACAAACTCTATGTCTTTTGACATAAGCTCATCCACGCTAACGTCGCGCCGTGCAATATATCCTCGGTCGGGCATATTCTCGGTCTGCAATAAATAGGCGTCCAACACTAGAAATTCCTTAAATTGCTTCAAATCGTCATCTATCTGGTCGGTTATACTCGGGCAAGCCATTGTGATAAAAACAAGAAAAATCTCGAGAATCGTCATGTTGAACACCGGAAATCGCATACTGCTACAACCATAGCCACGTCGATTATGTTCACTATTGGGTTGTTTTTTTTTTTTTTGTGATAAATGTTATTCCAACGCCAGATATTGTTTTTCAATTCACCATGTTTACAAAACTGTACAATATTTTTTTTGTGAAACATTAAAAAAACGCGTGTGTACTTAATGACAGAAATTTTTGTTGATTTAGGAGCACCTTTAACGGCAGTCTTTTTATTTAGTCAATAATTACATGCAAAAACACTGACTACTTGAGTTAAGTTTGTATTAGTAAATATTTTACGTTTATGTATTTTTAACGATTGTAAACCATCGCGTACTTAGTACAAAATATAATAATATTAGCTATTAATTATTTAATAAAAAAAATAGAATTTTATTACTCAACTATAACAAAAAGATACCATTTGTCAAGCTTATTTATACAACTAAATTAATGTTTAAAACTGACTTGTATGTTGATCGGTTTTTTTTCTACAATAAATTTAAAGTTTGGCAATAATTAAAGCTAGTCTTTGTCTTTAATAAATCATTGTTAAAGGTAGTTTATCGAAAAAAAAAATTATTTTACGTGATTCTGTAAATAGTCTATATTAAACGGAATTTACATTATATTCTAAATTGTGTTTGTATTTGATTTACAATTATTTATGTATGCAAACACCAAAACGTGTTTAATGCGCATATTTAGTTAAATCATAAATACACAGTAGATATTTTTAGCTTGAACAAAGAATAACTATAGTTTTATTATAGAAATGAATCTGAAAATTACCCGTCGGTTATTTTACGTTCAGTACTAACAAATAATAATTTCATTTATACAATTTCGGTTGGTTTGTCAGAATTGTTTATTCGAAAGTTAGAAAAGAAAATTCAAAATTTTCTCTTTGCAATAATTAAGTAAGTAAAGCAGAAAAAACATCAAACTCTTAACCGATATTATACAAGATTTATATAAATTGATAGTGCATAATAACAATAATAAGTGTACATTTAAAAACTGAAAAACCCAATAGCCTCTCAGCTGTGCACCGAAGCTAAAACTCAAGACCAATAATTTTAATCCAACCAAAATAAAACTTTCTTAAATAATTTAATTATCGTCGGTTTCCAAATCCATTAAGCGTTTATAAGGGCCAGACTCCTGGAGGCGGATTAACGAGTTGATTACTCCAAAGTCGACCACTTCATTTATTTTCTTGATGCGTGTGATGTATTTATCAGCTACTATAATTATTTTTTCGATCGAACTAAAATCTTCTGAATATATTAAATCATATTTTTTTTCGATTTCATCAGTCATCCACACTTTGTAATCTTTCTCTGTCAACGGGTTAGAAAATGTAGCAAAGTCGCTGTTACCGGATGATATGTCATTTAGCGACTTGAGCACACTACTAATGTGTCCATCAAACTGGGATACATTGAAAAAATTCCAAAAATATTTATTAAACATCCGTTTTACATTATCCAAATGGCGATCATTGGGCTGACCAACACAAAAAGCGACGTTTGTCAAAAAAGTGGTAATTTTTTTGTCGTATTCCCCGTGAAAGCGATTCAAGGTACAAATTAGCTGTATTATTGGACACGATTTTAAATATTGTTTCGTATCGATTAAGTACACTAAGACTATTTTCAAGGCCATCGCCTTCAAAGTAGTTATGAATTCGCTTTGTAGTGTTATGAACGAGTTGATAAATGTATGCAATGCCACGTTAACGTTGTAAGTATCCTGATATAGTTTCAGAAAATGTTCCACTATAGAATCGCTGTCGACTTGAACACCAAACGTTTTTATTAATTCGTACGTCATACGTCTATCTTTTATTAAGTCGTATAATCGCAACTGTTCTAGTTTGAATTGTTCCTTACCTCGGAAAACATAAGCGTTAGATCTTTGCTGATTTGTAAATCTTAGCTTGTTAGACGCCAGTGTCAGCGGAGTGTTATTTGTACGCCCCTCCTCTAAAACTTCTTTGATCTTGTCCACATACTCTACTTTTTGGGATTCGCCAGTTTCTTGATTGTACACCTTACATTCGTATGATTCGGTGAACTCCTCGAGCACTCTGATTACGGCAGCGTATGCAGCTAACATTGTCTTATTATTGAGACCAGCAGGTGTGATCTTGCATTATGACAGCATTAACTCTTCTGTCGTCAAAACAATGAAATAAAATATCCACATGACCTCCAGAAGGCTCAATTTTTGTTTGTCGAGTGAGTATTCATCTACGTACACAGCTTCCTCTGTAAATGTTATATCGTCGATTTCTTCCTCCGAGAGATGGCCTAGCTTTTCCGGTTCTGACAAGTATATATTCATTAGATACATGTGCACCAGTGCACTAAATACGAAACTGCATTCTAAATCTTTTTCCAAAGTTGAAGGATATTGTTTTATGATGTTGATATCCTTTGACATAAGCTCATCCCCGGTGACGTCGCGTCTTGCAATATAACCTCGGTCGGGCATAAATGTCTGCAAGAAACTGGTGTTGAAGGCTAGATCATCCTTTGTGTCTTCCAATTCGTCGGCAAAATTGCCGGTGGCACTGAGACAAGCTATTATCATGAAAACAAGAGACATTTTGAGAGCCGTCGTAATGAATATTACAGAAAATCGCATGCTGCTACACTCCAAAGCCACGTTCATACTTGTTTTTGCAAAAATATAAATACAACGCCAGATATTGTTTTTCGCGTTTTTTCACAATTCACAATGTTTGCAAAACGTTATATTAGTATTTTTATGTAAACACGAAAAACATATGTGTACGAAATTTCAGCAATTATTGTTGAACAAGTGGAAACATTTACCATAGTTATTTATTTAGTCGTCCAATGCAGGTAGAAACCTACTTCAAAGACGTTTGCTTAACTTAATATTATACGTTTAATTTATTCATTTTTTCATTTTATTATTATACATTTTTTTTTATGGAGCTTTCGTTTATACCCGGATAATAACAATATGTTTATTTTATTTCCCTTCATAACTTCCTATGATCTTGTCTAGATACTTCACATTTTAGGGGTTGGTCAGCTACTAGAATGTATACTTTTTTTTTTTTTGTATTAAATATTAATACGACGAATATTATTTTTCTGTTGAACCTCACGATAAAACAGTAGCTTTACAAAATAATGTACTCAATTTTATTTATGAACACAAAAAATTAAGTTTTCACAAAATATTAGTAATTTTTTTTTGTATCTTTAAGGGCATTGAAACCGGACGGATGTAAAGGAGTTTTGTATAGGCAATAATTAAGAAAAAAGGGGTTTTAATAAATTTCAACCATTTTAATTTATTTACAGATTATTTTGTATAAGCTTTAAGGTATTATTTTTAACTTGTAAATTTTTTTTAATGAGTAAACGCCATTTTTATGGTATTTCAGACCGAAAAGTTAGCCACAATTCTGACTAGGGTGGTTCGATTTAAATTCTATAAAGAGATTCTAATTTACTTGACTATGTTATGCAGAAATCCGATTTTCATTTTAATTCAGTTTCTTGCAGTTAAATAAGTTAAATTTGTAAATTTGCCCATAAATGTCTTCATAATCGGTTACCCAAAAACTTGTGTATTCTTATTTTATGTAATCAAAGGGTTTTATATAGTTTTTAATTTTTTTTTAAACATTCTTATTGATTTATCGATATTTATTAAAAAAAACAGGACATTTTCGTGCCTCGTGGACTCTCCCCTTTATTTATTTACTTACCTTCGGTAGTAATGCATCGGGCTCGCATCAAGTCGGCCTTGTTGCCAACTACAATGACCGTTTTTTCTCGCGTGTAGTTCTCTTGCCACAGATAGTTCAATATCTCTTCGGCTACTTTCAAAGATCCTTTAGACACCACTGAGTACACGACAATGCACGCGTGAGGTTCGTACGTTGCTATTGAATTCTCCACCTGGAACCCGTAGAACATACACATAAATAATTGCATAACATCACAAACCTTATTGCCGCCAATTAACAACTGTACATTCATTCAATTTTAAGAAATCTCAAGCTAATTATTAGAAGAAGAGAACGGATTTTGTTTACACAACTAGTTAACTGTCCAATATAAATTAACATGATCGACGTAATTTGTAAAAACAATACCATCTTTAAACCCGGCATAATTTATCACTCAGAAAATCAATAACTTCAAAAAAAAATACCTTAAATGCTTTTGAATGTGTAATTACATCATGAAGATTCGGATTAGAATGATATGATGTATAAAATCAAATAATATGTTCGAGTGGTTCGAATACCGCCGAACTTAAAACAAAGGCTTTCCGGTCTGCACTAGCCCTCAAAGTTAAAAACCACAGGTATTATAAATGAAAATAATATAACCATCATACTAACCGGGTAGTAGGTATGTATAAAAAATACATGGGTTTACGGGACACCTACAACAGTAGTAGTGTACATAAAAATACGAATGATGAAATTAAAATAATGAAATATAGATAAAAATCGTGTACATAAAAACTGATTAACGTGCCTCGCGTACGCGGTAAAATAAATAAATAATTTTCTGTATGTCGACCAGTGCAAAAAAAATTATAAATTATTATTGTTATAAAGGTTAAAATATTAATGTTCGTTACGGTATTTCGATCACGCGTTACCGCCAGACACGATCGATTTAAAAATTAAACATCATCTCTGGTTCGTCCCGTTCCGTCCGTCACATCAGTGTGATGTAAATATGCAAATTATTTTCTATTCTAGATGATACCGTTATTTAATTATCAGATAATAATAATGTGTCGAGCTATATGGGGCTGATGCCAATCTCCCAGTAGTTTAGTTGTATCCAAATGTATTTGTGTATAATATACCGTACTGTAATATATGACAGACGTACGGGTTTGGTTGGATTAGCTTTATTGAAATCCCAAAGCGATCATGTCTGTAAAACACTAATGTTGAATGAATCATTTGGTACGCATACGAAACGTATTGTAGGTGAAAAATGTACATAAAAAGCCTTACGGTGACGTCATCATTGGAATGGAGAAATATGGGATAAGATGGAGAGGTATAAAGTATAATGGGGAAGGGATAAGACGAAATCAATAATCTTTGGGTAACTGATAAGATATTATTGATAAGAAAATCAGCTGATAGCTGAAACAGAAAATCAGATGATCGCAAGATACCATAAGATGAGCCAATGTTTTTCTTTCAACGAAAATATTGAATTTGTATAGTATTTTTAGCAAAATTATCGCGTACCATAACCAACGATTTCTAGTCTAAACAATAAATTATTGTTCTGATTGCTAATCATATTGAATTTTTTAATTTTATATTGTTTCTTCGTTTAACAAATATGATTACGTAGTTAAATATCGTCATAGTTAAAACGAAACTGATTTTTGTACTTGTATTGAATTTTAAATTTCATAAACGAAATTTGTTCCTTAGTAGGAACGACCGAAGAAACTAGTTCATTACTACAAGACCGGGACGAGCACTGAACTGAGTTTGTTCTCGGATTGAACTATTCAAGCACTAGTACAATTATGTATATCATGTGTTATTATATTTATACGCATTGTAAAGGGGTCGCTCAAAGTGTAAAACACACACCGTCTATCAAGTCACTTGATAATGTTTCACCGATCACGCGAATGTCGCGAAGAGGTTTATATAATTTATAACTAAACCGCACTGCGATAATAGTCGCTGAACGGATACCGTATTAATAAGTAACAGCGACCACGAAAAGGGATTAAAGTTGTATGCTTGTAATACCGACCGTTAAAAGCGATCATCTATATTGAATTCAGCGGTCGGAACGTTGGCGGATGTATCTCTCCGCAAAAGCTAAGGAGTTGGTAAACCGGCTATTAAATTATGCATACACAACTAAATGGTTTAGTCGCGGAAACTGTGTGCTCAGTCACTATTGCCGGTCGAGATGAAGTCAATGCGAGGGGCGCAAATAACTGGAAATTCAGCTTTTAGGATCGTTTTAAGACGGGCTCACGCATAAGTGACCTATTGAAGTTTGGCAGCATTTTAAAATTAGATACTTTCCGGAATTTACTTAAAAATTCAATGTTTTTCAGCCGAGTCTGCAACCACGAAAGAGCGCATTTACATGTCTCGCTGAAGTACCGAGATAAATTTAGAGTAGTGGTGGAATTATAAATAATGATATAGTATATTAAGAAGCAATAACAAGCGCTAGTATATTAAAACATCAAGTTTCTGGCTAATATTGTAGTGTTTAGTATTTGGCTAAAAACAATTCATAGACAATTTGGGCCCTTAAACTGTTTTGAATTTATTACTTAGTTCTAATTTGAACGTTGAACGTACAACATATCTCTTATCTTTCCCTATCCCTTACCCCTTATCTCCCATCCCCTACCCACTATCTTCCATCCCCTATCCCCTTATCTCCTACCCCCTGTAACGGTTTTGTAACGCTTTTTTCGGTTATGTGCTAGAGCTAATTCCCTCCCCCATCCCCATCCTCAACCCCATCTCCGTGTGGTAACGCTTTTTGACATTTTTATGTCTTAGCTCTGGCACATAACCGAAAAAAGCGTTACCATAAAAGCGTTACCAAAAGAGCGTAACGAAAAAAGCGAAAGGGTTGGGGACGGGAGTGGAATAGGGGGTAGGAGGTAAGGGTGAGATTCAGCCGGTAAATAACCGAAAAAAAGTGTTACCAAAGAAGCGTTACCACACGGAGATGGGTTGGAGGTGGAAATAGGGGTAGGATATAAGGGGTGGGGGTGGGATAGGGTTGGTGTTGGGGACAGGGGATAGGGGTGGGAGATTAGGGGTGAGGTGGAGATAGGGGTAAGAGATAGGGGTGAGTGATAGGGAGGGATATAGGGGGGGAGATAGGGGTGAGAGATTAGGGAGTAGGGATAGAGTGGGAAATAAGGGTGAGTGATAGGGACGGGAGATAGTGGGTAGGGGAGAGGGGTAAGATATAGTAGATAAGAGATATGTTGTACGTTCAACGTTCAAATTAGAACTAAATAATAAATTCAAAATAGTTTAATTCTCTATGTTAGGTTACTTTTGGCCAGATGATAAACACTACAATTTTAGCCAGAAACTTGATTGTACATAATTTTTTAATCTCCTTGGCCTTATGCTGTAACTGGAAGCTCCATATAATTTTTTTGTTTTAAATTATAACTCCACACCTAATCTAAATTTATTCGGTACTTCAACGAGACATGAAAATGCTCTTTCGTGGTTGCAGACTTGGCTGAAAAACTTTCTTTTTCGGTTATGTGCCAGAGCTAAGACATGTAAATGTCAATAACCAATTAAAACTCATATAAATCGGACCTACCTCACGTGTCAAACTTACACAAAATACCTAACCTAACCCAACTTAAAAAAAAAAACATCAAAAAATCTAAACATCAAACTACTGGCCGTAACTGGACAGGCTTCAAAAAAACAAAAAATAGCATTGCTGGATAGGTCTTAGTGGAGACGAACCATACTGGGGTGTAGCCCTAGTTACAGATCTTTAGGAATTATTGACATGGATACGGAGGGGGGGGGGAGAGGATATGTTTGAAATTCAATCAAGTATGATTTGGTTTTGTCGTCGTCTAAGCCCAACAACATATTTATGATTCTATGATTTTCTGCGTAGAAGAGAAAAATAATTTATATTTTTCTATAACAGAAAACTCCGGTGCGTATTTGTAGACGGTAGAAATATTAAATATCGATAAAAGCTATACTGAATGACAATTGAGACTGTAATAGATACTGATGAAGAACGGCTTACTTTTTATGTTATTGTAGTTCTTACTATTTCTACTACTCAAATAAGTGCCAAGCTTTATATTATCTGCTAATATATTATCAACGAGTCTTTTAGAATCGCTATTATTATTGTTTTAACTAATTTATTGTCTCGTTGTCAATGTAAATTTGTAAATTAATACAGTAATAGTAAGATAAATTTGGTGACGGAATGAGGGTTTAAAATTAATACTTGACGATCAATTCAATTGAATGCCAACGTCTCAAGTAGTATCTTTGACTCAGAGTTATTTAGACAGCACTATACCGTCTAGCACAATTGATTACACTTTCAACTTAACCTGCAAAAGGTCATAGGGTTTGCGGTATTACTAAACTGATGATCATAAGAGCTCGGGAAGTTTTGTTGGAATGTTGGCTAGTTCAACTTGTAATCGCATTGACAGAAAACCGCAATTATAATTGCTTTCATAGAGAAAAGAAACTCAGGATCTAAACTATAGCCTGATCCAAAGTCATTTAATTAATACAAAGTTATATTCTACGGCTACGCTTATAGTTAATTCCAGTAACAGCTTAACACAATCAGTTAGTAATGATAACAATTGTCAATAATAATAATAATCAATATGTTATGTTTATGTCGACATTCCGTAACGGGACTAATGACATATTCAACGGTTTTAAATTTAAACTAAACGACATTCAGCTTAACATTTGAAATTATTACGTCCTATAGCTTATGACATTTGTAGTTTTGGGACTTTATGTCTGAAAATTAGACTGAAGGTAAATCTAAAATAAGACTAAAGCATACACGATTTTCTCAAAAAAAAAAAAATTGTTTTATTAATGTAAAGCCCCAAAAAATGCGAGCAATCGTACGCGAGTGAATAAGACAACAGGTACATAAAAAATATATTTTTAGTTGTGATATAATTATTAGGATAGACGACTGAAAGTACAACCCTCTGCCATAACAGAGTGCACCGTGAGTTGTTTTTTTAAAAATATTATCAACGAATCCAATTTCATATTACATTAAATCAATATTAGGGTCAACTCTACGGTTAATTGTAAAACGTTAGTATACTACGTAATTAAATAAAATACGAATATTGTTGGTTGTTTTTATAAAAAAAATTGCATACACATTTGCTCCATTGATTTGCAATTACCACATTTACATATAATATACAAATTGATTTTTAAATAATTATGCAATGGTTTTAGTGCGAAAATAATAACAGCTACTAAAAAAAACCTCTCCCTCCGACCTCGTTGTACTGGCTATTTATCTTATCGTTTAGCCCCATGTATAGTGTATGTATATATATATATATATATGCCACATAATATAGTGTGTAGTGTACGTATTAGTGCTTTTTTCGAAATTGGTAAATAATTGATTTTGTAATGTTGAAAAATATCGATCCAGTTAAATTCAGTCATGACTTTTTTTTATTTGAGATTTTAATGAAATAAAAAAAAATTACTCACTACTACTACTGTTACTTGCTGCGAGGAACCAAGTAATGAATCGGTACGGCAATAAACAATGAAAGTCGAGACAGTTGTTTTTCGATAATTTTGCAAAACCAACCGGCCAAAACGGCGACTAATTGCCATGTGCACAATCGGTTGTGGTTTTCCAAAGGCACGCGTCTGTCGGTAACGACTTTTAACGTATATTTTTACACAATCCGCCTCTGTTCGGTGATTTCTTTCTTTATTTCTTGTATTTTCTTTTGTCTCTTTCCCCTCTTTTGCCCGCATGTATAATGTGTATAAATATGTATATATATATATATATATATAGACTTCAACGGACCAACGGACGACGACGACGGCGGCAGCAATCCGGTCTCCCTTTGTGTATAATAGTAACAGCGGTATAATATAAATGTATATGTACATCCTCTTTCCTTCCGAGTGTAGTCTCATTACCCCTCGACCGCACCACCGCGTCCCTCTCATTTCACGCCGGGCACGGGACCCCAAACAAAAGAGCCGGCACCAGCAGCTGCTCCTCCTCGGGTTTATAGACATTAAATTTTATTTTTTTTTCGAGGGGGGGGGGGTGCTGCCGAAGCACGGTTTACCGTGTACCGCGGGGCAACGTATAAAATATATAGTACTTACTTTAACGCGCAAAAACGTTACAGCGGTGCGAAGAAAAATATCTGTTTTTTTTTTATCAATTTTCGCACAAAAGAACAAATTGACGGATTCGATAAGGACCTTTCCGAAAAAAATCTTTAACTCTACCAGTTCTGCACACACTCGGACAGCATTTAATAGTTCACCCAATTGTAACATATCGTTTTTTTAAAAATTTAACCTTATATCTTGTATATATATATATTGTCGTTTAAAAAATCCAAGTCCATAAGGGTTTTAGCACTCATAGAAAAGGTTTTGCTTCTTTTTAAATATTTCGTTCGGCAAATGTAACATTTCGAAATGGCTCGTTTTTATGCAATGGTCTCTTGTTGCAAAAAAAAAAAATTGTATTAAAACCGAAAGGGGTTTGTTTCGTCATAGGCGGACGTGTGTACACACATCATATACAGGGTGATTCATTTAACGCAAGACACACACTTTCTGCCGTCCTATTGATTGTCTTAGTCAATTTAAAGTAATTATTCGAAATCGGTTGTTGGGCCGGTCAAAATGTTCAGTACATTATTCTCAATTTAAAAACTTAAACGTACCTATATGTAAAATGCAAAAGTTGATGGATCATAAAGAATAAGACACTCATTTTTTCGGAAGGTAATAGCGTTTTTGGAGACACTTTTGGTCACAATATTTTACAGTATTCAAATTTTTTTTTTTTTTTAGACCTCTATAAAAAATAATATGCTATCATAGAGCTCTATGATTTTTAAAAGTTTTAATAATAACATACAGATTTTAATTAAGAATATTTTGCTAAAAAATGTTGACTGGTCGACAACCAGTGTTTAACCTATCTTTATTACTTCATTAAAAATTCCTTTGTCACACACTGTTAGTGAGCCCCAATTCGCCAAGTATGAAAAGTTTAAAATTTAGGACGGTAGGTAAGTGCGGTGAAGTGTACAGATAAAAACAATACTACCCATCATAAATTTTAAACTTTAATCGTTTTAAAAATAATTATCCAAAACCGGTTATCGATCAGTCGAAATTTTCGGCAAAATATTCTTAACTCGAAAAGTTAATCAAGTATGTACGGTTATCGTTTGAAAATTTTAAAGTCGACAAAGTCCTGGAATATATCAAATAAAATAAAATGTTGAACACTATAAATTAGCTTGGAGAAAAATGTTTTTTCAAAAAGAAAATCTACGAAATCTCAATAATTTTCCAAGAAAAGTCGATCACTCTGTACGCTATACGCTATACAAGCTACATAGCGTCGTGATGGTTGTATTATTGGACGTAGTAAATAATAATTGCAGTACTATAATACAATATTATAGTAGGTATACCTACTATACGGCGGTGTACACGCATAGCGCGGTGGTGGTACACGTTGCCGCCGTCGCCGCCGGTACTGCAGCTGCTGTCCCTCGGTCGCGTGCCCAACATCTGCCGCCCTCGTTTACACAACGCACACACGAGGAAGCGGCCCGCCCATACTCGCCCCGGCAACGATAGACCCGCAACCGGTTGCCTTCTAGTAGTCAAACGTTAAGCCCCGGCGCCGGTCGAATTGCCGCGGTTCGCACACCTCCGGTGCCGCGTTTTCCCTCCGTCCGAGTTGAGTTTGCAAAATCACAAGCGGATATTAAAGACACACGCGCACACACGCACAGGACTCTCAGGTCGGTAGTACTGTTAATAAATAATATTATTATTGTATCTAATGAAATTATCATTTCATAGCGGTAAGCCGACCGTGGCGGGAAATCGGAAGCGGCGGGAGAAGAGGGGACACGGGGTATCCGCCGGCCAAAAAAGTTGACCGTTAAATTTAACGGCTTTCCAGCTATACGAGGCTCGTACCCCAAGTGTATAATAGTGTAGTAGGCGAGTGGCAGTTTTCGAGTGGCGTTGGATAATAGTTTCGTTCGGTCTTGGCGTTCTTAGTTTTGGTGACGGTTTTTTTTTTTTTTAAAAATTCTATATAATATATTAATTGAATTGTCTACACGTCGCGGTGGCGTCACTTATACGAATGTTTAATTGGCGTTAAAAAAAAAAAAAAAAACGGTGAGTAAAAATTACTATACTTTCACAAGGGGTGCTACAGAGTTGTTCTCGTTTTGAAAATACACGGCGTTTACATTTTACGCACGGTTTGACGAAAAAGCCAAAACCGAATGAAAATATCGATAGCCATATCCATATTTATTTATGTTGAACGAAACATGATATCGTTATTCGTATATTGTAAATCTAATTTTAAAAGTCCCGTCAATTGCCTTGTTCTTCGAGTGATGAGTTTTTTTTTATGTTTGGCCCTCGATTGAGTTTTGAGTTTAAACCACCGAAACGATTATATCGCCATACAGCCAGTGTTTAGATCAAGAATCGTACTTAAAAAGAGAAAAAAATCGAAAAAATTCACCTTTGAAAACCCAAAGAATAAAAGGATTTCAACATTTTTTTTTTAGGCTTTCTGTAAATGTAGCAATACACGAGTTCTTATTTTTTTTGTGGGGGGGGGGGGGGTATTTGCGGGTCCAAATATTAGTCTGGTAGTAGGGTGTTTTGTTATGATTTGTCACTTCCTCGACTTTGACCGAGTTTTGGAGGCTTTGTTTTTCAAAAAATACTCTAGATTGAACACAATAAGCGTTCGGGTTATTGATTCGAGCTAAGTCTAACGGCCGTTGCCAAGGATCGAATGTACGTCTAGACATACGGGTCTCTTCTCGTTGTTTATAATAAATCAACCGTCGTACATATACTGCTATGTTGCACACATAAAATATGTTATACATTGTATCTGCTTTAGAAGAAACAAACAATCTATTCGCAGTCCGTGCAGCTGGCGTTCTTCTGCGACTCTATTTATAAATCGGTTTTAATTTTTCTTTACACGTGGTCCAATAATAACAATAATAATTACGATTATTTTGAGCAGTCGGTGTCTTTTCATTTATGGAGTTAGATGATATCCACATAAGGATAACGTCAGACTCTATTAACGGACGAGGGTGCGACTATGTTCAAGTCGAACGCTTATCGCGAGACAAGCGTGCGTTTGGTTAATTTTCTTAAATAATTATTACTCCCGAGTGAGATTTTCGAACTAAACCGGAATCATTACTTCCATTTTCAAAGACCAATCCACCAATAATAAGTAAAAATAAAAAACAAAGGAGTCAAATTGTTTGTCCTGATGTGTATTTTTTAAATATTATTTTCTAACGAGCCATATGTTATGTTAGGTTGGGTCGTCCATTCGTTGCTGGTTAAACGTAACTTAGTGTTATGTATAATAAAACGTATACGGTATTGCAATGGCCAACGGTCAAGCTACGATAAAAAATGAAAAAAAATGATAAATAAATATCAACATACAATAATATTTTGTATTTCCGATTTGGCGCAATTATTTCTAGGAAATTGCTACCCCGCTGGGATAAATCCGAGCACACTATGATACGTTAAGTTTTCCATTTGGTTATTGTTATGACAATATGATATTTTTCAATAGAAATTACATTATACAATCTGGTTTGATTATATTGCTTTTTTTCGAGGAAGATATGCTGCTGTGCAAACGAAGTTCATCGTTGGTCGATAAAACTACTATACGTTTTGAGTTATTAGCTATTTTTTTTTTTTAAAATATTTATTTAAAATATGAACCAAAAGTTATTTTCGTTCTGTGATTTAATAAATGTATCCTCTTAGCTAAAGAAACTTACTTCTACTTTTATTAACTATGGATTCGTTTTTTTTCATTTAGGAGGATTATAGAACAGAAATACTCTACTTAGTTAGGTCAAAAATAAAAAAACCTAACCCCCCCCTCTGCAAAATTGATGTCATAAAAATTGTCGTTAAAAGTTTTGCCTGCTTAAAAATAGTTAAGTAACCTCCTTTTGAGGTATTCTTTTAGATATTGCTCCTAACGGAATCCAGGTTAAATTGATTATTTTGAGTTAAACCTAAAAAACGTTAATGAATGAAATGTCTTTTACACCAGCTAACCATATGTTATCAGCTAGCCCTCAGCTATCAGCGGCTATCACCTTCTTTTCAGTTTTTTATCATATATGTTATCAGCTAATTTCGCCTTAACATTCGTCATTATTATTACTACCGTATATTTATTATTAGCTGATTTCATCAACATTGCGGCGACGAGACATTTTATTTGGTTAACTCCCTATATAAGTACAGACAAAATAGAGGAGTAGAAGATCTGTTATTGCTTTGCTTTTTGTGGGTAGCTTTTGGACGTAAGGCCTGAAAATTGTTTTTTTGAAATAGTTTTAAACGGTTCATTATTTTCGAAATGAATGTGTCTGACGCAAACTTAACCTAACTATTCTGATAGTGCTAAGAGAGTGCGGATTAAGGATTAGTTTCAGAGGATTGGACGTGATTACAGATAGTAGGAGGGTAAGAAAATGGATATGACCATGGACCTTCTTAAAGGCACTATTAGATATTCACGATCCAGTATTCTTCCTTCGAGGAAAGAATAAATAGGTTTATTATTTTTTACGGGAAAAAGTACTGTATCATGAAATTTTTTTAGGGATTTAATACACTCAATCATTTGAACATGGATGTTTTCTACAGCCGGACACATCAATTTCGGCGATCAAATAGTGTAGTGGAAACTAGGTACACTTGCTTGTAATGTGCTCGAGTTATTGCGGCCGGCAACGAATGAATAATATAACGATTAAAAATAATTGTAAAAACCGACACGGACGGTATGAGAGATGCGTTTTTTTAACGTCGTGGTATTATCAAAGCAACATTAACCGGTCGACAGAGAAAAGTTTCGGATTAGAATTTTTTGTTTAATCCTCAACGACGGCAGCTGCTGCCGTAGCGGCGGGAACATCTGGGTACAGATTTGCCAAGGTATAAAGTGAAAAAAAAAAATAAATAAAAAAACAATCGTATTTCCAGACACCGAAAAATAAAAAAGGAAAAACTATAATAATGGTAAATCCAATATCTTGTTGGTTTCGCGTTGAAGCTAAACAAAAATTAAGGAGAAATAGCAAAATAAAAAAAAATAAATAAATAAAGTTTGCGGCAACCATTAGCCTTTAATTCCATCGGTCAATGGGGAATTAATACAAAATAATGATATTATTGTTTTTTTTTTTTGATGTTGCTAACAACGCACAACCCGTGTTGGTTAATTATTCTGTCGGATATTTTATTCGTTAAAAGAAACGCATAACTAATTGAAAAAACAAAACGGAAACGACCAACATCTCCGATGCGTTAATTCTGGATTAACTACCGGTCGAAAAAAGTTTTCCTGCAAAGCTAAATCTGTCGCTGGGTGAAGGGGTTGAAGGGGGGGGGGGGGTGCCAGTAGTAGTGGAATCGTTTTCGGAATTTCAATAGACTCGTCCTAGGCGATTTTTTTCACAACATACTAGACCGACTGGTCAATCCGTTATTATCCAGTTTTGCCAAATAACCCACTTAGAAAAACATTTGGCACGCTGTAAACGTTTTAGTTCAAAGTGCTTGAATACAGGTAAAATTATGCGTTTTCGTGGTCGCCAAATACGTTTTTAAAATTATACATAAAATGAAACTTCTACTCGACTACTGTTAATAGCGGCCTAACAAGTTACCTAGCCTTTAAGCGACTTGTGCGGCTCTGAAAAACGACGCTAATTTATTTATTTTTTTAAATTTAAATATTGCTCGGACGCGGCTAACCGTAATTACGTTTCTGGAGCATAGTAATTAAATTTTAACTGTATAACTAAAAAAAATAAAGCGCGTGGATGATTTAAGGGGTTTCGGTATGTTTAAAGAATGTAAGTTGGTCATAAAAAAAAAAAATACTACGCAGGTATACGGTATAATATTACTGGTTCTTTCCATCGTACATCAACGACACCCACTTCATTATAACAGTTTTTGAATGAACTAATAGATGATAAGAATCTTTTTATCTGGATTAAAAATAGACATTATTGTTAAATGTTAAGCCGGTAAAAGTTATTTTTTGGTATATTTTTTGTACATACAAACATTTTTGTTTGCATTTGAATTAATAGAAGTGTCTCTTCTAGTTTAATCTATTTTGTGACTATTCCTTCAAAGATGGAATATGTTATCTGAAAGTCATAAAGTGTAAAGAGTATCTAGATTATTTTATCTAGTTAATGCCTACCTGGATACATCTACCGTGTATTTTGAAAATTATCAGAGTTATTGTATTCGATACTAATTTACACAACTGTATTGAATATTAACGAATAAAATACTTAATGTTAACTAAAAATACCTAAACTAACGACTAACACCAATGATAAAATAATCTACCTATATTGTATTTGTGTCTATAGTATGAAAGTCAACGCATAATATTAATTACTACATTAAAAAGTAATATCTTCATCAGTTTTTATTGGGTTATTCAATTTAATACACGTTTTAGTTTGTAATATTATATTAATATTTTATTATTGTAGGATTCTCTTTTTGCCGAATTTGATAAATATAGTCAGGATATAATATAGTTAAAAAAAAACAAAATTCTAAAATCATAAACCAAATCCAAATATGTTCCATCTTAATTGGTCGAGGAATTTAAATCGAAAATGTGAGAATAACTTTACTATAGTACATTTTTTACAAGTAATACGTCATACATAATGCA